GGGATTTTCCAAGATAGTAGCGCCTCTAACCCAACTAACAAGGAAGGAGCAGCCATTCATTTAGACTAATGCCTGTGAGCGGAGTTTTGATGAGTTGAAGAGGAGGTTGACTACTTCTCCTGTGCTGGTGTTGCTCGATTCTGGTGAGCCCTTTGATGTGTATTGTGATGCTTCTCACTAGGGCCTGGGGTGCGTGTTGATGCAAAACAGGAAAGTGGTGGCATATGCTTCAAGGCAACTGAAGAACCATGAAAGGAATTATCCTACTCATGACTTGGAGTTAGCAGTTGTGGTGTTTGCCTTGAAGATATGGAGACACTATTTGTATGGTGCTCGGTTCAACGTCTTTAGTGATCACAAGAGTCTGAAGTACCTGTTTGATCAGAAGGAGCTAAACATGAGGCAGAGGCGGTGGATGGAGTTTCTGAAGGATTATGACTTCCAGTCGATGTATCATCCTGGTAAGGCCAATGTTGTGGCGGATGTGCTGAGTAGGAAATCCATCCACATGTCTGGTATGATGGTGGAAGAGCTGGAGCTGGTGGAGAAGTTCAGAGATTTGAATCTCTATGTGGAGTTAGCTCAGGATCACATTAGTTGTGGGATGATTACCATAACTAGTGAGTTCTTGAGGCAGGTTGGACTTAAGAAGTTGCAAGATGTTGAGCTGGTGAAGCTTCTTGGTTTGCTGGGAACTGAGAAGGCTCTTGGTTTTGAGCTGGGCGGAGATGGAATCTTGAGGTTCAAGGGCAGAATTTGCCTACCTCAGGATGCTGAGCTGAAGACAGCTGTGTTGGAGGAAGACCACAAGAGCAGACTTAGCATACATCCTGGTATGACTAAGATGTACCAAGACCTCAAGAAGACCTTCTGGTGGTCTGGTATGAAGAGGGAGATAGCTGAATATGTGGCAGCCTGTCTGACCTATCAGAAGGTGAAGGTGGAGCATCAGAAGTCGAGTGGGTTGATGCAGAAGATGGAGATTCCGGAATGGAAGTGGGATAGTATCACTATGGACTTCATCGTCGGGTTGCCTAGGTCGGCTAAGAATAGTGATGCTATCTGGGTGATAGTTGATCGGTTGACCAAGTGTGCGCATTTCTTGCCTGTCAACATCAAGTGGTCCTCGGAGAAGCTGACGCAGTTGTATTTGAGAGAAATAGTACGATTGCACGGGGTGCCTTCTAGTATTATTTTAGACAGAGATCCGAGGTTCACTTCTAGATTTTGGCAGAGTCTACATCAAGCCTTAGGCACGAAGCTGAAGCTGAGTTCTGCTTACCATCCACAGGCGGATGGTCAGTCAGAGAGGATAATCCAGTCCTTGGAGGATCTGTTGAGGGCTTGTGTGTTAGACCACTTGGAAAGCTGGGAGGAAGTCCTATCGTTGGTGGAGTTCACTTACAATAATAGCTTTCATGCTAGTATTGGGATGGTGCCGTTTGAAGCCTTGTATGGCAGGAGATGTAGGACTCCTCTATGCTGGTATCAAGATGGTGAATCAGTGGTTGTGGGACCGGAGCTAATCCTACAGACTACTAAGAAGGTGAAGCTGATTCAGGAGAGAATGAAGACTGCTCAGAGTAGGCAGAAATCCTATGCTGATAAAAGGCGAAAACCTTTGGAGTTTGCTGAAGGGGAACATGTGTTTCTGAAGGTGACCCCGACTTCTGGTGTGGGTAGAGCGTTGTAGGCTGAGCTATTGTAGGCCGTAAGGCTGAGCTGTTGTAAGAGATCTCCGAGATGATATGCGTGACGACGCATTGTGTGTTTTATCGCTGTTTATGCTGATTAGTTGATGAATTGTATGCTGATGATGTGTTGATAGCTGTAGTTGTTCACTACATGTATATTTTCATATATGTATGTTGATTCTTTTCACTAGCTTACCCTTTGTTGTTTCCATGTGTTTGGACTACGATGATCATACGTTATATGGGAGCAGAGCAGGGTTCGGTTGGTGAGTTAAGGCAGGTCTACAGCTGGCAGATAGAGTTAATTCTTTTTGATGTTTTGGCCACTAGTTTGGCTACTTTGGGTTGTATTTGTATACTCTGATGTTAGCTCAGATTGGACCTTGTGTATATATGTATATTGTAGCTACTTATGTATATGCATGTCCTTTCTGTGTGATTCTGTGGTGTTGAGTAGTGTGTAGTGGTCAGCCGGGTCATTACACTATTTGCATTAAATGTGTTTCACCAAATTGTTACTTTTTATCTAATTAAGGAAGTTACTTATCACCCTTTAAGTACCAAATAGATGGAGTCATGCATGTGTTAGTTCAAAACAAACTTTTTATTTAGAATTTTTGTGATTCAAGGCATCTGCTTATCTTTTTATGATGAAAAACATATTTTCCTTCTCTTTTGTTATTGTGGGTACCAAGGAAGCTATTTTACTTCGAATTAAGGAATCATATATACAAAGATTGACTTATTTATCAAACATCTTAAATGATATGAATTCAAAATAAATTTCTTATAGATGAATTGTTTCATCTGTTAGACTTTTTATGTCAAGATAATTTATCGTCTTAGGGCATTCATCTTATTGAATGATTTGAAAAAAATCTTTTAAATTGTCAACTAATAAAATATAATGTCTTCATAACTTTTTAAAATAGTTACTTTAAAAGTCAACAAATGCAATAATAGATTGTAATTGAATCACCTTATAAAACTACTTTATACTCACATTGCATAACCTTTTTATTCAAAAAGATGCAATTTAGGGTGGAATAGTATCGCATATCTTTCATCCCTAGACCACCAAAATTACTGGTTATTAAAGGTTTAGCGGGTATCCAGTCAATTTTGTACAATATTTTTAAGGTTTTAAGAAATTGCAAAATAGTCCTGTTGTTACTATTTGGCCTTTTTTATCCTAAAATTTTATTTTTGGAATTATTTCCTTTTTGATTTTTTTGCAAGGATTCTCACATTGAGGGTGTTAAATAATATTTCAATGTGTAGTAGACCGAAACAATCAATAAGAAACAAATCAAAAACTAAAACCGTGTGGGAGAGAAGGAGAGAGGAAACACTAACAAAAAAGGTTACATTTGCAATAGTTTACCAAAATTGTGAGTGAAAGGAGTACGTAAGGAGAAGTGAGAAAGAAACAAAAATTAAGACAACAAAAAAAAAAAAAAAAAAAAAAGAAAGAGAAAGAAGTGGTAGAGAGAGAAAATATAAGTATAAAAAGTGAAAGAGGGGTGGTGGTGGTTGAAAGTTAATGTGATGGATGTTATGGAAACTTCCATTTTTTGCTCAAGCACTTCTATTTCATTTTTATTTTTATTTTCATATCTTTTCTTGTTAAAAATTATCCATTGCCAATTTTTTCTTATTTGAGTTGATTAATTTGTACACTAATAAATTATATATCATTTATATAAATCATCATTATTAAATATTTGTCGAAGAAAGAGAATTTCAAAAATAAAAATTAATATTATTTATTATTTTCTTGATTAACAAAAAGATGAAGGACATATATGAAATTAAAAATAATACTTGAGTATCTATTACCATTTTATAAAATTTTACTAATATTACATATACTAGTAATTAAAGATAATTAATCTACATCCTTTATTATATTATTGTTATATCTAATGGTTGTGAATACAAGTATACCCTAAACCAGTCCGTAGCAGAAGATGACGGCGGGAAAAGAATGAGAAGATAAGCGAATGGCGGGAAGAAATTGAGGAATTCCCAATCCCATTTCATTTTATTTTAATTATTTATGATTTTAAAGCCATAAAATTGATTTAAATAAACCAACCAAAGCAGAACCAATATCAACTAGTTATAAAAATGGGGAAGAAGAAGAGAAGTAGGGTTTCCGAAGACGAGGAAATCGAATCCGATGTCAACCCTTCCGATCACAACCAAAACACCCTCTATCAGGTACCCTGCATTTTCTTAATCCTTCAATTACGTTTCCCTTTAATTCCAATTTGTACTCGCTTTAGATTGTTTATAAGTTGTAGGATCGATTTATTTTGCCAGGAATGTGTTATTCGAGCTTGTGGCAGTTACACTGCTATTAGAGGGTTTGGTTCTACCCAGTGGGGTAGCGGATTTTTTTTATTATTTTTTATTAAGGTTAGTAGATTAATCTTCTCTTGATTCGGTTTATAACCCATGGGTAGTGTTTGCTGGGATTCGTATTCTAAGCTTTTACATTGTTGGGGGTATTGGGTAGGTTGGAGACTTTGGGGTGAGGTTTTCTTACTTCGTGTTTGAAAGTTGTGAAACATCTTATCATATCTCTTATAGGATGTAAAGACATGTTGATTGTTGAGCTTATGTGTTTGTATATCCTCAAAGTTCCCTACATTGATTTATAGTGATTTCACCAACATCGGGGTCCTTAGGCATGTGATTATGGTCCTGGCCCGTTAGAGATGTCTTACTTCTTGGACGGGAATATGCTATAGAAATCAGAAAAATAATTACTCTAATTTCCCTTGTTATAGAAATTTAGGGACCTCAAGACACAACCTTGGTATAGTTCACTCTCTAATCACTTTACAAAAGGAGAATTCAGTATTTCTAATGTTTCCTATCCTAGTCTTCTGTGCGTTTGCCATGCTGAAGCTAATGGGTGTTCCACTCATCGGTGTTGTATTTGTGGTGCTTGTGACATGGTGATGTATGAACAAGGATGTTTTGGAAATGACCCATTTCTTGATATTGTTCTTAGGTTCTTGGTGTGGAGAGAACAGCATCACAACAGGAAATAAAGAAAGCATACTACAAGTTAGCATTGAGGCTGCATCCTGATAAGAACCCCGATGATGAGGTGTTTTGTCTAGTGTTTACTGTTGTTCTCCAATTGGTATGCTGAAATTATACATGTTTCCGGTTGTAATTGATCATTTTTTACAGGAAGCTAAAGCAAAGTTTCAACAATTGCAAAATGTTATCTCAATTCTCGGGGATGAAGAAAAACGAGCAGTTTATGATCAGACTGGTTGTGTTGATGATGCTGTAAGCGTTTCACATGGTTTATCTTTATGTCTGTTAGCTCATTGGAGGGAACTGTTCTCATTATATCAATTTCATTGTAACTCACCACAACAAAATGAAAGATTAGATTTCAGGATACTTTAGCATTTTCCTAGACATTTGCAACTCAGTTATATTTTAAAATCAGGAGCTTGCAGGGGACGTTGTTCAGAATCTTAAAGAATATTTCAGAGCAATGTACAAGAAGGTACATGTTTTAGCTATGATCCCCTTTTTTTCCTGATGCCTTGCGGTATGTTTTTTTTCATCCGTGTGGTCTTGTATATGCTAATAGGTCACTGAAGCTGACATTGAGGAGTTTGAAGCAAACTATAGGGGATCTGACTCTGAGAAAAATGATTTGATTGATATGTACAAGAAGTGCAAGGGTAATATGAACAGGTAAAACATTGTGATTACTGATAATTAAGAACCTTTTGTTGGGTAAAGGATTTCACTTCAGCTTGATATCTTGTAACTTCCCTTTGCAGGCTATTCTGTTCGATGCTTTGTTCAGATCCTAAACTTGACTCTCACCGATTCAAGGATATTCTTGATGAGGCTATAGTTGCTGGTAAGAATACCACTAGCTATTCTTGCCCCAAATTTCGACCAGACATTTGATCTAGATGTAGGTTTCATTGTTAGAAAAGAGATGTACAGAATTTTAAATGTTTGGGATATATCTTGAAGTTCATAAGATAATGGGAGACCATGTAGTAATATAGGCAAATATTTTACTTGGGTTGTTCAACAATTTCCTTGATGCTTGTTTTCTTCTCTTCATGTCTTTAGGAGAGTTGAAGGATACAAAAGCTTACAAGAAATGGGTAAAGAAAATATCTGAAATGAAGCCACCGACAAGTCCCTTAAGAAGAAGGGCAAAGTAAGTTTATCAGTAGGGTTTGGTTTGGTTTATGTTATTCAGTTGTGCTGTAATATAGAAATACTCATGCTTAAATCTTCCACAGATCATCAAATAAGCAATCAAAAACAGATCTGTATGCTATGATATCACAACGCCGAGATGAGAGGAAAGAGCGCTTTGATTCTATGTTCTCATCTCTAATTTCAAAGTATGGTGGCGGTCCGATGCCAGAACCCTCCGAAGAGGAATTTGAAGCTGCACAGATAAAGTTGGAAAGCCGAAGGCCCTCAAAAAAGTCTAAGCGAAAATAACCAACTTATGGTTTTGTTTTGTGTAAAATTTGGTCGAGTTTGAACAGTACATCAGCTATTGTTAGTGGAAGTTCTTGTGAACTAGGGGTAATTTGTTAATGTGACTGGTTAGTGGATAATGTGAATGCTGAAACAGCATGAACTTTACTAAAAGCTTTAGGCTTATGTTATCTTCTATCATTTTTCTCTGATCCCTGTTATTTGTTTTTGATGCTTCAGTACCTAGATCACAATTTGATCTCAGTGAAATACTAGTATCAATTACCTTCAATGTTATCAGTAAATTCATGCGATAAAGCAGCCGTGGGCAAAAAGCTAGTTTAAGCTTTAAATATGTTTAAATATAAGTTAAAGGTGTTTTTTTAAAAAAAATTTTAATTTATTGAAAAAGTTCTTTATTTTTAGTAAAAAAATGTTCTAAAAAGTATTTTTAAACTTGAATTAAAACAGGTTCATCTTGCCCTTCAGAAATTTGGTGAACTATAAGCTTATCTATTTGCTGATTCTTTTTCTAAACACGCACAAACTGAGATATGAAGTTGTGGACTATAAAAAAGCCGTTGGTTTAAAATTAAACCGTTGCAGCTATTAGTTGGCACCTGCACATGTGTGTTCCGTATCAAATGTGTATCGATTATTTAATGACCCTTTTGGTTCCATCTTAAGAAATGTGACTTGGAGCCTATCATGCGATGCAGTCATGTGAATTGTTGCACCTCTATTTTATTTATTTTTTCTCTTCCACAATATTCTTAACGTGATAAGTGTTGGAAAAACACTGGAGGGTGTCCACCGGTGGTTTTAGACAATATATACATATTATGTCCTAAAATGAAAATTAATAATTAATAATTGAAGGTTAAAATAATAGCAATATATATGATGCCCTTATGTGTGTGTTTACTTATTTAAAAAAATTGAACGTTTTATTTTAAAGATTTAGAAGAACATTTTTTCTTCTAAAGAATATGGGTTAAAACAAGTTTTCTGCCATCAATACTTTAGCTTTGACAAAAGGGTAATTTTGTCATTTGAACACAATTTATATCTTATTTCATTATTATCAAGTTTATCATGTCAAATACAAGACATAGTAACACCTCAATATTATCTTGTTCCTTGTATGATATCAAACAGGTGATAAAATTAAAATTTATTCTATTCTTATTTTATTTATATATTTTATCTTATCCTAATATATTGCGACCATTATACTATACATGTCCTAAAATAGGATGTAAGGTTTCTTCAATGCATAAATATATTTTTCTCAAAAATAAATTGTTAAACGCATAACAAAATGACATTACATTAATAAAACGGTCAACCCATTTCATTTCCAGTACAACATTTTGGGGGGAAAAAAATAGCTGTTGGCTTTATATTCCAAAATTTAGTGATTTTTTAAAATTTATTTTCTTTTAGGGTACAAAGTGTTGCCATCACAACTTCTTGCTATTGTGAGTGACCTTGCTGAAATTTGTACTAAATCCTAGTAAGTTTATCTTTTTTTCATCCATGCCTTTTATCTCCTCCATGAAAGTTTGCAAGCATGCATATATTTTACATCAATCACCTACATTTTGATTGATTAAATACTTTTCATTGCAATATTATTATTACTTTTTTATAAGCAAATAAAGTTAATCTTATTATTAAATGTTTGAGTGCATATTTATGAAAAGTTAATTTCTAATAAAAGTAATAGATTATTTTTTAAAAACTCTCGCTAAAACTCGATAAATAAGAGATTATTTCCCCAACTTAAGTTCATAATATTTTTTCAAATTCAATAAAACCTTAATATTGTTTTTACTTAATATGTCTTTTTCTTATCCATATAGCCAAATTTAGTTTTTTATTTATTTATTTTTAATTTCGGTCATCGTAATTTTTATAAGTAAAATTGTTTCTGTCATCATTAAAGGGGATGTAACTTGCATATAGTTATACAATTTCAGTTATCATTCTGAAAATCATATGGTATGATAAGTTTATATACATACAACATTATCATAGCATCATCTTCAAAAAAAATTTGAAAAATTATATGGAACACATGTAACAATTTTATTAGAAGACTAAAATAAAATTTTGCAATATTTAGAAGCCATTAAAAGTATATCAAGTAAATTTGTTTTTTTTAAAGTACAATACCTAATAAAAAGTAATATAATCATCGAGACACTGTAAAATTAATATATATATATATATATATATATACATATATATATATATATATATTAATTTAGTCAAATGAAAGTAAAAAAAGATCAATCTAATTTTATCAAGTTTTACTCATTCTAACCAACTCCCTTATTAGAAGAATTAGAAGGTTGTGCCTACTTTGCACAAAGAAACAACCTTGACATTAAAGATGAAGTCAAAATAGATAGTATTTTGAAGTCATTTTTCTATAAGAACATCTTTAAATAGGTTATAAATGCAAGATTTTATGAAAATTTGAAGGAAAGAATAACACTAACAAAGTTGTGTAAAACTCTATTGAAATGTTTTCTCAAGCTCTTGTAAATTCTTTAAGTTAATTGTCTAGTAAAACTTGTATAAACTTGAATAGCTCTATCATTGTCTTAGTAAGTTATGGTACATCGAATCTAAACTTATATATTCTCTTTATGAAAGTAATATTTGAAATACCAATCATTTATTTAGTTAAGCATGAAAAAACTTGGAAATAATATTTGTGTAAATGTGTAGTTTATGACATCAACCAAAATATATTATATAACTAGAAATGATAGCTGAGATATTCGTTGTAACCGGTTGTGGTTATTGAAACCTTGTTGAAAAATAACAAAATATAGTTCAAATGGAATAAACCAATACAAAAACAAACAAAATTTTACTATTTCATCCTTTATGTTCCTTGGAAGAAAGTGTTTGAGTTATATCTAGTTATAACTATTATATTTATCTTTTGCAAAAAAAAAAAAATGTTTTTTTGAAAATTTTTACACACACTCAACCCTTCACTGAATTTGTTTAACTTTCACAATTATGCGAAAACATAAATATTTTTATTTTTTAATTTATAACTTCATCATTCCATCAAATAAAATAATTATATTTCATTATAAAAATAAACAAAAGTTATATGACATTTTCTATCACATATATATAATAAATAATTATATAATTTGTTAAAATTAATAATATAATTAACTCACTTTCAGAAATATCCGTAGCATTAAATGATTTAAGGCAGCATAATTATGGACACTAATTCAAAGGATAATTAGGACAAAAAATTGGAATATTTAACGAGCGATATTTAATGAAACTAATACATTCAAGTGTTATTTATATTTATATTTTTCTCTATATATATGCTTTTTTTTTCACTATGTTAAAAATTATTTTTTTTTTATAGAATTTCGTTTTTTAAATGACTATATTAAAAAATAAACTTAAAAAATAAAATAAAAGATTGGCAATATATAAATAAATAATAAATAAAAATAATTAATAAAAATTATATAATATTTTGATAAAATAACTTTACTATTGTATATAAATAAGCTAATAATTTTATAACACAATTGATATAAATCGGAAAAAGTAATCGTTTATTTTAACTCAAACAAATAATTATTTCTTCAAAAACAAACTATACTAAGCACATTCATATTGACATTAACTTTTCAAGCCATGAATAGTCTTAAAAGTAATTTATATGGATAAGAAATTTTCGAAACGAAATTAGCATAAATAGCATCCTTTGGTGATGCCTTAAATTATGGTAGCCACAACTATGCTAAACATAGTCACTGTTACACGCTTATCAATTAAAGCAATATTAAAGTGACAACATGTCTCTTCTGCATTTCTTTACTTGACTTTGTTGTCCTTCCATCACTTTCTCTCTCTCAACTTTCTTTCGGTAAGTCATCAATCAAACTCTCTCAATTTGTTTTTGGTATATTCCACTTTCTCTCTCTCTTCAATCTCCTGAGAAGCTAGTTTTTAGTGTCAATATAGTTGTGAAAGTTGATACCTGATACGCCTTCATGGTTGCTGAAGTTCATTCAATACGCACCTAAAGTTAGTCTCATAATAATTGTTGCTATTGAAGCTATAGGTTTGTGTTCAGTTACAGCATTTGGAAGAAGCAAAAGGGTTGGTGGTAGCTGAAATTCACACTCACAACAGCAAAGCTTTGTCATAGAATAAGGCATCAAAGGTTTTCCTGAATTGGGTTCTCAGCGAATCAGGATCTGCTGCTTGCTTCAGTGCTCCACTGTTTTGTTTTGTCTTCTAGCTTCTTCTGGAGTTTTCCATGGAGAGTAGTGGCAAGATGGAAGACTATGAAGTGATTCAGCAAATTGGAAGAGGAGCACTTGGTGCAACTTTTCTTGTTCTACACAAGATTGAGAAAAAGAGGTATGGCACTGTTCCTTTTTGTGTGTTCTGTGTAATTGCTGGAAGGAACCATGCAACATGAACTCTTCAAGATCTTTTCTTTGGTCAAATTTTGACAACCGCACAAAGAAATTTTCAATCTTTTTGAGATTTTAGTGGTCAATTGAGGCAATTGATACTCTACAAGTTCAATAGAAGTTAGCTTTTAACATGGGCCATAGAAGAATCCATTTTCAGTTCAGAAATGGACAACCCCAGAAAAAATTATAATTTTTAGGACTAAAAGCTGCGCTAATTAACTAGCAGTTTTTCTTTCCGGCTTCAGTTTTTTTATCGCTTTTCATGATGAAACTTTCATGTCTCCGGTAGGTATGTGCTGAAGAAAATTCGCTTGGCCAAACAAGCAGACAAGTCCAAAGTGACAGCTCAACAAGAGGTTGGTGTAACAAATTCTTCCACTTAATGCATATATTCAGTATCAGCCAGGAAATTATTTAATTATTGGTATTATCTTCTCTTGTTTTCTTACTTTCTATTATAATTGATAGGACAAGTTACTGTTTTGTGCTAATTATGAACATTGATGTTTGGGTTCTTCCTTTAACTTTTATTGTTTCTTTTTGGAAGTGGTTTTTAATCTGTACCATCACCAAAGAATAAATAGTAATGATTGATCCATTTCCTACTATCTTTTGAGTCATGCATGGCTTGAATAAGATCAACCTAACTAGTTAATTGTATTTCTCAAAATCTTTCCCT